AACAATAATAATTTTCAAAGTTAAAAAAAAAATTTTTTGTTATTCAAAACATTTATTTATTTACAAATATTTTTAACTCACAGTGTCAATTAAAAAAAAAATAATTTAAAAATTTCAATAAACAATTGAAAGAAAAAAATAATTTAATAAAATATAATGTTCACTAATTGAAACGGCATATATGTAACAAGAGAAAAAAAAATATATTTTTTTAAAAATAAAGTTGTACTTGTGCATTTCTATGAACTCCCATGAACGTAGGAATGAGGATATAGGTTTGGGGTAGAATTTGGTAGAGTTGAAAAAGAGAGTGGTATAGGCAGGGTAGAAATCCAATACGCTACAGCGAGTTCGCAACAATGCGTAATATTATTAAAGCACAGTGAGACGAGAGGAATTCTAGTAACGTATTCGCCACAGCGAAAAATGAAACGATAACTCGATGGATGCTGGCGAAAAAAAGGGATGAAAAATGAGAGAGACGTAAAAAATGTACAAGAGAGATGAAAGCAAACCTCGAATATACTGGTGAGGGGTTGCCCTCTATTTCTCTCTCATCATTAGCGATCAATATCAACGAAATAGCACAAAAGTAAATTTATTAAACTCTCTAAAGCACGTTATATTACTCCTAAGCTCAATTATTCACATTTTTTCCTTTTTTCCCCAAAAAATTGCCGGTGAAAAAAATCGAAACCTACTCCATTTGATTCCTGGTGAAATTCTGAACAAAAATGTATGTTATCAAAATTTTGCTAGGATGTATTTTGTAGAAGTTAGAGAGGTTTAAAGTTAGCGCGGTGAGAGACGTTGAGCAAGCGTCAAGGAGTGGGGGTAGTTAAATTCCGAGCGGCTCGAGGTCATCGAGCGGCCGGCGCGTGGTGGGGGTAACCGCGCCGCCGAGGAAACTTTAAATCACTCCAGTTGGAATAGAAATCGCTCTAGAAAAAAATGGTAAAATACTTTTTTCTTTAATTTTTCATTCTCTATCGACTGGTGTTGGTATTTTTCGAATTCAACTAAAAACATTTGTTTTATCGCATATTAAAGAGGGAAAAATCGATTTTTTTTGTAATCCAGGTCAGGGGAACGATTGTATAGGTGGATAGAGAAGGTGTAGAAGGTTTTGGAGAAAAATCTCGGAAAACCTGTCGTAGGATAAATCGTCTGTCAAGGACCTTGGTGCACTCGAGTCATTTCTCTAAGCCAACGCAGACCTCTTGACTCGACGCCACTCGTTGAAACGAAATCTGATACCGAGGGAAGCTAAACTCCTTCAAATTCACGAGCTCCGTAAAGCTCTCTCTCCCTCTCTCCTACTTACTATTCTCTCTCTTGCTCTTTTTTTTTACTGTAAAGTAAGTCGACCCCAAAGTATCCAGTCAACCCTTTAAATGCAAAACGTCGTTTTGAGATTCGACTTTTTTTTCTACGATGGTTTCACTCACAAGTTCACAGTCTCCTCTCGTCCCTCACCCTCTAGACTAGAGAAAATTTTTGTTATTTCTTTATTATTATTTATTAATACTGTTATTATTTAGTTATTAATTTAAATTTTTTTATTGTTAAAAAATAATAAAAATATTTTTGAAAATATAATTTTCAACGAGTTGTAATAATTAATTTTAGTGATGGAAAAATCGGGTACTTATCTATTAAAAAAATATCATTAAAGGACTTTTGACTGGATTTTGTTTGAATTAATAATTAAAGAAGTTTTGGTTCATATCCTATGCTTGCATCGAGACAAAATGGACTTTTTTGATATTAAATATTTTATTAAATAGCTTTTAGCGTTGAGAACTAAAATTAATAATAGAGTTAAAATAAAATTGACACATTTAATTATTATTGACTGGCATTAAAATTGTGAATAGGAGAAGAAATTAAATTAAATAATTTTAATATAATTTAAATTATAATAAGTAAATTAATAATAATAATAAACAATAATAATTATTATTATTACTTTTATTATTCTATTATAATAATTATTATAATTAATATAAATAATAATAAAAATAATTCTTTTAATTAATTAATAAAAAATTAATTAATAATAAAGATATTAACAATAAAAAAATTCGTAATTAATAACAAATTTAAAAAAAATCGATTTTCGGCGACTGTGATCGAACCCCAACTGTTTGAGTTCGCAGTCAAAAGTCTTTCCTCGCAGCTATTGGAAAAAAATTGTTTTCTCACTTCTTTTACTTTTTGAAAATAATTAAAATAGAGTGAAAAAAATTAGTTCCCTGAGGAATTTTCTTCAAAAAATGAATTCTAATTGAAAAAAACAAAATTTCTAAAAAACTAAAATGTTAGAAAATTGCAAAAAAAAAAAAAAAAATTTTTAAACTGATATGAAAGAAAAATAAAATTTTGTATAAAGGAAATAAAAATTAAAAATTGTTAAAAAAAAATAAAATTAAAAAGAATAAAATTGAAAAATTAATAATGAAAAAGCAAAAAAATAAAATTGAGAAATTAAAAAAATAAAATAGATATAAAATTAAAAAAAAAAGTAATATTAAAAATTTTGTCCAAATATTATTACCTAAATTAATTTTTAATTAAAAAAAAGGAAACGAAAAAGAATCTTTTGTTTCTTATAATTATCACTGAACAGTGTAAAATATTCTCAATATTAATTTAAATTATTGACATTTCGTCACAATTAAAAATTTAAAATGACACAAAAAGGAAGAATATATTTTAGTACAGAGATAGACAATATTCTGAATATTATGAATAATTAAATTATTTTAAGTTAGTGTAAATTTAGTACAAACTTTTTTATATCAATAAATTATTAAATAGCTGTCAGTTTGAGAAATAGTTTTGAAAATTATATCAAATGTTACTGTTCCAATTATCTCTCTCTATATATATATACATATATTAATTTCACGAGATGAAAATATATTATTCCTAAGGAAATGAAGAAAAGAAAGAAAAAAACGATGAAATTCCAATCGTTTCCAATGCAAGAGAAAAATAGAATTCACAGAAAATAAATGTAATTCAATTAATGTAATTAAATCAAATTGGAATGTAATTTATAAAATGGAACATTTGAGAACAATTTTTCCTTTTTTTTCCCCCCATTACTTTAAAATGAAATTATGTGTAAGATTAAAATTTATTAAAAAATTTAAAATTTTTATTGGAAATTAAAATAAAATTGAAAAAATAAAAAAAAATTCAATAAAAAAAATAAACAATAAAATCAAAAAAAATTAAATAAGAAAATTTTTTTTTAGTTTTTTTAAATTAATTAATATTTTTTTACTAATTAAATAATATTTTTTTTAGTAATTAATTAATAAATAGTTAATAATTAATTAATATAATCTAGAAAATAAATTTTTTTAGAAAAATTGTTTAATTTTTTTTTTTGTTGTAGAAAAAAGGAAAAAAAATTTTTTGAACCTTTTGTTTTTAATTTTGAAAAATGTAATGGGGAGAAGAAAATAAATGTTTTTAAAATTATATCACACAAAGAGACGAAGTTATACTTGAGACTGCATAGTTTCGCAGCGGAGAATATAATTCGTGTGAAACGATAAATAAGCCAAAGCTTAAGGCAGTGGCGTCGTCATGCGTCTATTCACTAAAGCTTCTAGCATTGCAACTACAGAACTCAATGGATTTGTCAGAAAATTACATTTTTCAATTAAAAAAAAATTTTTTTTTAAAACGTAAAAAATACTAACAATGCAAAAAATAATTTTTTAATAAATAAATAAATAAATAAAAAAGAAGAAATATAAAAATAAATAAAAATAAATAAATATAGGTACAAAAAGAAACATAAAAAATTAATAAGTGAAAAATACAAAAATTAATATAAAAATTTTAAAAATTATTAAATAAAAAATAAAAATAAAAATAGATAAAAACACAAAAAAAAGTAAATCGGGCATTAATAAAAAAATTTTTTTTTTGATTTATAATAATTATAATATTTAATTATTAGATATAATATTTATATTATTATTTTTATAATTTTTTATAATACAAAAATTTTATAACAAAATAAATTATTGTACAAATTAAATAAATAGAAAGAAAGTTAATAAATTCATAATTAAATAAATAATTTAACTACTATAGGTATAATAAATAAATTTAATTAATACAAACAAAAATTATTTAAAATATATAAAAAGTTAAAAAAAATTATTTTCAAATTATTTTTTTTTCTAAATTAACAAATAATTTTCTAACGAAAAAAAAAGTTATATAAAATTTACAAAAAAAAAACTTTAAAAAATTCATTTTTGAATTATTTTGTTTTTTAATTATTATTATTTGGATTGAAAAAAAAAATTTTTTTTTTTTCATTTACAAAATATTATTTAAACCGAGTATTAAAAAATAAAAAAAAAGTGGGGGGCGGTAAAAATACGTTTTTTTTGGGTGAGGGGGGCCTCCAGGGGTGAGGCAGTAGAGAAAGAGAGAGGGGGGGTGAGTTAGGAGTAAATGTCGGTAATGACGTCTCGTAATTACATCGAAAGTTCACAGGGAACTGTAATTATCGTAGAAGCGTGCGCGCCTTGAACGATACCTTTCGGCACACACACAGAGAGCAATCGACGAAATACTAACGACGTCGAGACACACAGCAACGCAAAACCCTCTTGGTAATTACTTGAGTCGTTAATCGACGCAATAATGTGTGCTAGAGAGAGAATCTAAAGTAACGGGGTGAAGGGAGGGGGTGGTAAAAAGGGGTCTATTATTGCAATTAACATTGAATATATATATAAAAAAAAATATTAACAATTTTCTTGCAAAAAAAAAAAATTTACAAAATAAATAAATTAATATTTTTTACATAATAAATAATTGCATAAATAAATATTTATTTTTTTTATAATAGAGAGATAAATAATTAATAAGCGATAAAATTCGTGTTTTGAATAATAATAAAAAAAAATAAACAATTAATTTTTTCATAAAAAAATAATTGAAAGTAAAAAAAAAAAAAAACTTACCCCCTTGAAGGTCATGATGTTGTGAAGGGCGTTTTGGGCTCCCAAGGCAGCTTTTCTCGTGTAAAACGTAACAAAGCAGCAACCTGAAACAAAAAAATTTTTTTTTTTATTAAAAAAAAACCATTATTATTTATTAATAAATAATAATTAATTTTTAATTAATTATTTTTTTACTCTCCATAAGATTCTAAAAGGAAAGTTCTTTTACACAATTTTAAAATCTTAATAATTGTCGAAACTAGAGGGAATTAAAGTTCGGCGCCCTTGCGGCTAGCCGAGCGTTGCCGAACGAACGCCGTTTATTAAAATTGTTCCAACTCGAATAGTTCTCGCCCTTTTGACTTGAGGCAAAAGAATTATTTTTTTATTAAAAAAAACCTTTATTATTTATTAATAATTAATAATTTGTTTAAAAATAAATTTTTTTAAAATTATATTTCTTTAAATACAAGAAAAAAATTTTTAATATAAAAAACAAATAATATAGGCAGTAAAATTAATAATATAATTATATTATAATAATAATAATAATTTTTTTTAGTCCATAAAAATAATTGCTTTGGGTGAAAAATTTTTTTTTTTAATGTTCCAAATTTACGAGTGACATGTACTTAATGTACTTCTTCTCATAAGTGACAGAAAGACAAACGACTTGGGACTTTCGCCAAAAAATCTTTTGCTGGCAACAACAATAGTAACTCTCACTCTCTCACGATTCTTAGAATGTGTGAAACACAAAAAAGAAAATTCATCAATATTATTATATTATCACCACATTTTACTTTTCAACACTTCGCGATGTGAAAAAATTTTTTTTTTGAAAAACTATTCTCCAATTATTCTCCAATTTATTCAAAAAAGTAGAAAAAAGGAAGAATTTATAATAAAATTAGAAAAAATAAAAAAAATTTGTTTAAATAATTTATTTTTTGGAAAATTTAATATTAAAACCCATAAATAATTGTTCGGTATAAAATTTCGAAGAGAAAATTCCTTTTGGTCGAAATAAAAATACTGAATACTTTTCGAATTAGAACGATTTTAAATGCAGGGCGTCGGTTCGGCCCGAGCGCAACGAGTGGGGGTAACGCTCGGCTAGCCGCAAGTCCGCTAAACTTTATCCCTCTCTAATTTCGACAATTCTTAATATTTTAAAACACCGTAAAAGACTTTTCGTTTCAGAATTAATTTCCCTTTACTTTCCCTTTATTTTTATTATTTATTTTTTTATTATTATTTTATATTTTCATTATTTATTTCCAAAAAAAAATTTTTTTTTTTTTATTAAATTTGTTAAAAATTGAAAATTTCCCACAGAATACAATTTTCAGGGTAAGTAATACTAATTAGCATTGGTAAATAATGGCAACAGTAGAATTACAGGATTTTAGGGGAGAGGGGTGGGGGAAATTGTGGTTTCGAGGGATGAAAAGGGACACGTGATATGCGCGTGTACTGAGCACGAAACAGCAATTCTGCCGCATGTCGAACATATAAAGACATATCGTTGTTGGACGATATATATATATATAACTTATCCCGCGGGTCTGCAGCTAATACACTGGCCGATGCGTGATTAGAGTCCGCGGGGAAATCTAACCGGACATGCCTGCCGGCTAGTGAAATCCACCTCTCTCTCTCCCCCATCAAACTTTTTTTCCCATTCTCCCTGTAAAAAAAAATGAAAAAAAAAAAAAATTTCTACCTCCTTCTCAACTTGAAACCGATTTCTTACCGCAAAATTGGATTTTTTTTACCCTCCTCTTTAGAAATCATTGCAGTAGTCTCGAGATGCTTTTTATTGCCGAGGGAAATCAGTGAAAAAACAATTTTTTTTCGAAAAAGTGGACAGCGATTGATCGCACGTGATGAAAATGTTTAAAAAATTTGATTTTATTTAGTTTTTTTTATTAAACACTTGTTAGGAGTGAAATTTAGAGAAAATTATGCTTTTGCCCCAAATTAAAAGGACGAGAACTATTCGAGTTGGAACAATTTTAATAATCGGCGTTCGTTCGGCAAAGCTCGGCTAGCCGCATGGGCGCCGAACTTTATTTCCCTCTAGTTTCGACAATTATTAATATTTTAAAATTGTGTAAAAGAACTTTCCTTTTAGAATCTTACGGAGAGTAAAAAACTAATTAAATAAATGAAAATTAATTTTTGCAAAAAAATTTTCCTTCTTACAAAAAGTCGAAAAAAGAGATTTTCTCAGCAATTTCATGGACAAGTGGCGCTGGTAAATTTTAATAATCGTCCCTTGGGAGATCCGGAGGAAACAAATATCAATGTAGAAGAGGGTCGTAATTCACCGATTCAGCTATATCTCCCCTTTTTCTTTTTCAGACAGAAGCGAAAGAGGAAACTTCTGTGTTGGCAATATCGTCAAATCCGGAAGTATGAGAAAGAGAGAGAAAAAAAATGATAGCACACGTTTTAGAACCGAATTTACGAAAACGATTGATATCTTCATTTTCTTATGCCAAGTATTGTATCGAAAAAAAATATTTTCTTTTTTTTTGTTTAGATATTCCTAGAAATGGTAAAATTGAATAATAATCAAAAAACTAAAATTAATTATCTTCGTTTTTGTGGATTCTGTGAGCGCTTTAAGTTCCACGGATTGCGACGGCCGAACGTTTAAAGTGGGGAAAACGCTCCTTCGGCCGAACAACGCGCGATATTAAAATCGTTCCCATTTGAACAGAACTGCATATTTTTAAATTCGGCCAAAAGTAACTTTCCTTGAAATTTCATCCCCCTTTCACCCCTTATATTCATTTTACTATTTTCTTTTGTCTAATTAAAAAAAAATCATTTTTTTTTCTAAATTTCTAGTTTTTCTTGTTTTTATTCAAAATTTTGAACAGATTTCAGTGTGGCTATAAAGAATTAGATCGAAACTTACGCCGCCGGAAGCACAAACGTTTCAGAATATCGATTCAAAGTCCAGTTTCCTCGGAGGCGCTTTGTTCTCGACCTAATCACGGAAATTAGATTGCTCTGACGGTCAAAGGCGCGCACACACACACACACACAGTCTATGAACTGACTCACGATTCAACGGCGTACATTGCACAATCACTGATCACATCGAAACGTAACTTCATCGGATAATGTAACCACAACCCTGTGTGTTAATAGGAAAATACAATTTTTTATAAATAAATTTTTAAAAAAACAAGTAAAGAGAAACAAAAAATTTACCGCCACCGGGATTCGAACCCGGGTTCGATTTTTTGTACAGTCAGACACCTAATGCTCACGGCTATCGCAAACTTAAAAAAAATTCTTTTTTTTTATCAATTTCGGTGTTTTTTAAAGTTGGGAACCTAAAATTTACCATAAAAAAAGGTTGGAAAAAATAGTTTCCATGGAAAAATGTAAAAAAAAAAAAAATTATTTTGTAATTAAAAATGATTACTAATTGGGTTTTGGAGGTGACTTTTGGGAGAATTTTTTTTTTTCTATATCGTTTTTCATTCCTTCTGAGGATATCGTATTGAACGTAGCGGGAGGCTAAAACTGCTTTATTGGAGGGGAAAGAGTTAGGAGGAGCCAAAAGGGACAAGGGAGAAAAATAATGAGAACTGAAGACCCGAGCGGAAAAGCACCCGTGGTTTCTAGCCACTTCAACGACGCTGAGTCGTAGTAATTAATTCTGAAGGATCTTCATAAATTCATGGGCAAAAAAAAAGAAAAAAAAACCTCGGAATGGATGATCGAATTTCAATAACGATATTAACACTCACCCACGATTCTATCTTGATACTCCAATTTTTTTTCCCCCTCAATATATTATTGCTTCGTGAAAAGCTTTCCAATAGATAAAAAGGGGGCAAAAAAAATCAGGAATTTTTCCTAAAATATTTAAGTAAATAATTTATATTTTTAATTTTTTTTTTGTCATGATTTTCTATTTTTATTCCTTCGGTTTGGTATTTTTTTTTTTATCATCTCCATTTGATATTCCACACGCGTAAAAGATGGTTTCGTCTCGCGAGATGATATCACACGAGAAAAAGAACGCTTCACATTATCCAGAGCCCCGGGGTAAATCCCTCTTTTTCCCCTCCCTCCTCCCCTTCGATGTATATATAAGCGAGATAAGGTCCATTTGCTTCTAGATCAGTGTACATTATAAGCAAAACTAGATTTATTCCGATATAAGAGGGATCCTATTTTATAAAACGTGAGACACGTATAAGGGATAAATTTGCGAAAAATCTTGGTAGAAACTTTTTTTGAATCTTAATAAAAAAAAATTCCCCAATTGTGTTTTTGTTATTTTTGTTGAAAATCTGATGGAAAATGTCTTTTGGAGAAATTTGATTTGAGGCATTGTTTTTAACTTAGAGCAATTTTAAGTTTTGTGACCTTGAACGAGCCGAGCGTTTAACGCTTAAACATCCTCACGCCGCTACAAACTATAAAATGGTGTAAAATTAATAAAATTTAGTTTATAAAATTTTTTCAAAATTGTACCTACTTTAGAATTGTATTTTTAATATAAAAACTAATATTAAAAAATAAATACAAATATATCTTAGAAAAATTTTCTTGAATATTGGTAAAAAAAATTCCATTTTGTTTTTTTTTGTTATTCGTATTGAAAATCTGAGAGAAAATGTCCCTTGGAGAAATTTGATACAATGCGTTGTTTTCGATTTAGAGTAATTTTAAGTTTTGTGACCTTGAACGAGCCGAGCGTTGAACGATTAAACGGCCTAACGCCGCCACAAACTATAAAATACTATAAAATCACAAAAATTTAATTTTTATTAATTTTTCAAAATTCCACATTCTTTGGGATTGTATTTTTAGTATAAAAACTAATATTAAAAAATTAAATATAAATAAATAAAAATAATAAATTGATAAAAAAAAATTAGAATAACAGAAAAATTGAGTTCAAAAAAGAAAAAAAAATCCAAATTGGAATTTAAATATTTACAAATGTAAATAATTTTTTCCCGAATTACAAAAAATTGAAATGAAAAAATATCTCGAGGGGAATTTTTTTATTTTTATCATAAACAATGTGCAATGAATTTTTGCAAACGTTGAGAGTGCGAAAAAACGA